GTTGGCAATTTTCAGGCAAGTGCAAAGGAGGCGGGGGTGGGTGGGAATTAAGTATACATTGACGGTAAGGATTATAATGATAAACCATTGAGTAAGCTGTATAAGAGAGAGGCTCAAGTCTAAAGGGGGTTGATGATCATGGTGATTAAGTGGACTCCCATCTGAATGGGCTCAAAGAATTATTTTCACAAGAAAGGAGGGCTGGAGGTAGGAGAATGGGATGTTGGAGCTACAATTGTGGAAGTGGTGATTCCTGGTGAAGACAAGCCCCAGGGTGTGGCCATGGTAGTGGATGGCTGAAGTGTGGCATGAGAGTTGATCTTGAGTGACAAGACTTGAGATGAAAAGAAAATCTTTAAATCAGATGTAAGATTTTCAGTGACTAAGAGGCAGGAACTAGAAGATCACAAGATTATAGCTCTGATCACTCCTGGCAGTCCCAAAGAGAAGATGAAGACAATGATTTGAGTTTTAAGGAAGTTATGACCCTATCTCTTGATTCTGAGGTATGTGGCTAAGAAAAACAGAAGGACTGACTTTGAAACTAGGAACGAGGGCTAGAAAGTGGGTTGTGTTTGTTTGCTTGAGAGGTAAAGTGAGAGAGAGCATTTGCCCAAATGCCCACAACAGCTAAGACCAGGCCAGGGCCAACATCAGAATCAAGAGCCAGGAACTCAATCCATGTTTCTCATATGGGAGGCAGGAACCCAATTCCTTGAGCTTTCATTGCTGCCCCCTGGGTCTACATTGGTTGGCAAGCTGGAATCAGGAGCCAGAACTGGGAATCAAACCCAGGCACACCACGTGCGGCACTGCTAGTCTGAATGCCTGCTCCCAAATACTCAACTTTTCTTCTTTTTCTATGGATTCTGGGAGTGGCCACATTCATACCCAGTCAATTTTTTTTCTTATAAATGTTGGGTTGATTTGTCAGCACTGCCCTGGGCAGTTGGTTTCCAAGGCTGAACATGCTGTGCATGGCCATCAGGAGTCCTCAGGACAATACAACCACAACTGGAGAGGGGCATAGGGATGAAAGAGGGGCTTGCTTTTCGTTACACAAGACAAAATAACTCCTTAGGAATCCTAACTGAGGGCAGGGAGAAGACTGTGGGGAGCAACTCGGACTAGACTAAGTTACTGGAATTAAGACTTATTCTATGCATCTGCTCTCCCACAACATGGCGCTGAGAAGGGAGAAACAGCTTCTACACAGCTGCCTCCAGTTCAACCAATAAACAGCAGGACTTGCTCCTGATTGGAGGAGAGCAGCGTACTCGGCGTGTGGGTAGCAGAGTTGGGATTGGTGGAAGAGGACTATAAAGGAGGAGAGAGACAACATGCACCAGGAACATCTAAGAGGAACACCTGTGCAGCCCCCGAGAGAGCCGGCCGGCGGTGTGCCGCTCCCCCGCGGAAGTGGGGAATGTGGCAGGGGGAACCGCCCTTCCACGGAGGTGGAAGGGTCGGTAGCCAACCCGGGAAGAACCAGCAGCAAACCCGGGGAGGGCCGAGCAGACGAAAGAACAGCGCAGGGTCCTGTGTCGTTCCTCCACGAAGACGGGGAGCGACAGAAGACACCTGAATACAGCCTCGGTATTCTGACTCCACCCCTTTCCCTATCTCCTTCATGGGCAGAATGGAAGAAGACAGGTGAAGTGAACAAGCAATTCTGTAAAACTAAACTTAGAAATCTTGGCAAATCTGGGGCCTGGGTTGTGGCACAGCCTGCAACGATGGCATCCCATATCATTTTTCGAGTCCCGGCTGCTCCACTTCTGATCCAGCTCCTTGCTTATGCACCTGAGAAAGCAGCTGAAGATGGCCCAAGTACTTGGATCCATGCCACCCATGTAGAGGATCAGATGGAGTTCCAGGCTCCTGACCGGTTCAGCTATTCTGGGGAGTGAACCAGTGGATGGACACCCCACCCCCACCCCGTAACTCTGCCTTTAAAAAGATAAGTAAGTCCTTACAAAAAGAAATTTACAAATTTGATTAAAACCTAAACTTGTTTTGCTCTTAAAAAAATTCAACATATCAGAAGGCCTGCTTTAGTGACAGGCTAAAAAGTAACCTGAGTGCCCTATCAGTAACATGCTCAACTTGACTAGCAACTCTTCTAATCTTGCATGGTCAACTGTGCGTGCCTTTCAAAGCCATGGCACACTTGACTGCTATTAATGTGCATCCCCCTGCTAAGTGACCAGTGTCTACCTCCTCCAGGAGGGGCAGGACAGGGTAAGCCTACAGCAGCAATGAGGGACCAGAGGCCCGAGTCACCAACTTTTCACCCACTGCCCCCTCCATCCCCACTCAGAAGGAAACTTGCTCAGTTTTACAGCAGATTGTTCACCTCCAATTTGGCTCCCTTGACCAGGACGTTTCCCTCCTTTAGAATAACTGACACCCACACACCCATATCATTTTTTTTGTTTTGTTTTTTCATTTAAATACAAGAATGCTGTTCTGCATTGTGTTATAAATGGAGGACCAAGCAGTAAGAACGGTTTGTCCTTTATGGTGGGCACACCCCTCGGTGAAGAAGGCATGCAGCCTGGAGCGTGGCATGCACCCCAGCCAGAGATCAAGGCTCCGCTGCTTCAGCAAGGCTCAGTCCTGGCTGTGGCGGGCAGTGAACCAGTGGGTGGAAGATCTCTGTCCCTGTCTCTTTCACTCTTCGTCTTTTTGCCTTTCAAATAAATACAAAATTAAAAAATTTTAAAAGATTTTGTAATGGAAAAGTAGGGAGAATGATCTAGCATGTCTTCAGATTGGACAGGGAGACCGATGGCAGAAAGGAGGTAACAGATAAAGGACACTGGAAAAGTAAATGGAGCATTATTAGGAAAATAATTTCCCATTAAGAAATTCATATTTTTCCTATTTACTAATTAAAGGTTTCAAAATATATTAATGTGCAGATTTTTTTATTTGTATTTGAAATAGTGATTTAGGATTTTGGTTATGGCATGTCTTTGTATTTCAATTTTCTCCAATATAAGTTGGGTTCTTACCCTCAGTGGAAAATTATATAATAATTTTTCTGATGTGGCTCTTTGTCTAAAGGGAGGCCGTGTTAAGTGCTGAGACTGAGTCAACTGGCTAAGTTGAATCCTGGTACAACACCCAGTTTACCACTTCTTGGCTAAGCAACCTTGGCTCTTGCTTATCATTCTGTGCATAGTTCTGCAAAACTGTGGTTAATAATAGTGCCTACCTCATAAGGTTGTTGTGAGGATCAAGGGAGTTAACATATGAAAAGCACTTAGAACAATGCCTGGCACATAGTAAGTAGGACCCAAGAATTAGCTGGTTATGCTTACTTTTTATTGGCTGTTCTGAGACAATATGCTCCTGGGAGACACCACTTATAACGTGTTATTAGGAACACAGCATGTTCTACTTTGACTTTTTAAAGATATCATTTGCATAAAATAAGATTTCATCAGTATATCTTTTTTTTTTATTTTTTTTTTTTTTTTGACAGAGTGGACAGTGAGAGAGAGAGAAAGGTCTTCCTTTGCTGTTGGTTCACCCTCCAATGGCCGCCGCAGCCAGCGCACCGCGCTGATCCGATGGCAGGAGCCAGGTGCTTCTCCTGGTCTCCCATGGGGTGCAGGGCCCAAGTACTTGGGCCATCCTCCACTGCACTCCCTGGCCACAGCAGAGAGCTGGCCTGGAAGAGGGGCAACCGGGACAGAATCCGGCGCCCCGACCGGGACTAGAACCCGGCGTGCCGGCGCCGCAAGGCGGAGGATTAGCCTAGTGAGCCGCGGCACCGGCAGATTTCATCAGTATATCTATGCTGTCCAATATAGTAGCCACCACCCATAGGTGATTATTTAAATTAAGACTGATGAAGTTAAAAATTCAGTTCCTGAGTCAGGCATTTGATAGAATCTTTAAGATGCTGCCTGGGGGGACTGGCACTGTGGTGCAGATTAAGCTGCTGCCTGCCACAGCTGCATCCCATATGGGGGCTCCAGTCCTGGCTGGTCCACTGTCTACCCAGCTCTCTGATACTTCACCTGGGAAATCAAGAGAAAATGGCCCAGTACTTGGACCCTTGCCATCCACATGGGAGATCCCAAAGAAGTTCCAGGCTCCTGGCTTTGGGCTGGCCCAGCCTACTGGCTGTTGCAGTCATTTGGGGAGTGAATCAGTGGATGGAAGATTTCTCTCTCCTCTGTCTCCTCTTCTCTCTCTGTAACTCTTTCAAATAAATAAATGAATCTTAAAAATAAATGCTTCTTGAGATATTTGAATCACATATCAGGTACCTGGTTTGACTCCTTGCTTTCTTTCCTATCCAGCTTCCTACTAACGCATTCTGGGAAGCAGCAGGTGTTCTTGGGTACCTGCCACCCACATGGGAGATGCAAATTGAGTTTTTTGACTCCTGGCTTTGGCCTGACACTGCCCCAGCTGTTGCAGACATTTAGGAAGTGAACCAGCAGGTGGAATATCTTTCCCTCTGTCACTCTTTCAAATAAATAAAAATAAGTAAATTTTTAAAGAAAATCCAGCTCCTCAGTTGCACAACCACATTTCAAGCAGGCAATGGACATAGTGGGCTACTGGCTACTGAACTGGACAGTGCAGATACAGATCACTCTATCACTGCGAAGTGTTCTGATAGGAGCTAGCAGAGAGCCGGGCCTCCTGCCCTTTCCCATGCAAATCGCTCTCTCTGGGACAATCACTGTTAGAGGTTTCTTCTACTGTCCTTCGTGGTTCAGACCCGCACAAACATGCTGGGCCAGGCCAAAGCCAGAGGCCAGGAACTGCTTCCAGGTCTCCCATTGTGGGTGACAGGGACCCAGGTATTTCCGCTATCATCTGCTGCCTTCCAGGTGCACTAGTGGGTAGCTGTATCGGAAGAGAAGGAGCCGTAGGGGCCAGGACTCAAACAGGCACCCTGATAACGCAATGTGGATGTAGCGGTGACCCACACGGCACAACACCTGCCCCAGATATTTATTTCGGAGCAAAAAAGGACATTTTAAAAAATACACATATAGTTTCTTCAGAACAGATTTCCCACGACTTTTTGAAGATCCCCTTATAGTTAATTAACTGTTCAAAAACGTAGAGCATCTGAGCTAGTCTTCCAGAGCAGCTCTGAAAGCTTTAAAGCACAATTTATACACCAGCAGTATGCATAGGATTACGGTTGGGAGCAGCTGGAAGGAATGCACCTTCTCTTCATCGACTTATAATCACCCCACCTGCAGGGCCGGCATTTCGCTGCCGCACAGCCATCTCCTCCGCCGTGCAAAGCCCTGCATAAACGCGGAGAGTCCACCGTTAAGCTGTCTGACACCTGGGACACGGAGGGCAGCCCACGGGTCAAGGGAGGCCGCGGGGTCACCGCCGGGCCACAGGGAATGGGCGCCCCCTGGCGACCGCCTGAGGAACGCGCCGCGCGCGCTGTCGAAGCCGGGAACATGGCGGGACGTGGCCGGCCCGTGGAGCCTGTTTCGCCATCGCCAGACAGGGAGGAAAACGGCGCCCAACGTGGTGGCTGGGATCTCTCAGTGGGCGGACGACCACCTGCGCCTCGTCCGGGTGAGCGGGCGGCGCGGCGCGAGCCTGCAAATTCCGAGCCCCGGCGGTCTCGTCCCGGCCGGAGAGGGCAGCAGGGCCGCGGGGGTGTGGGCCCGGGATGGCGACACGGCAGGGTCCGTGTGCGGGCCGGGGGGCGATTCGGCCTCAGGGCCGCCGGGGCCGGGACACAGCAGAGGACGAACGAGACGCCGCCCAGCCCGGGGGCGCCGGCGGGCCCGTCCTGAGCGCTCCTGGAGGCGGACTTGGGGACTCGCGTTTTGCTTTAAGCTAAGCGCGGGCCTCGCGAGAGGAGTGTGGCTCAGCCCCCGGTGGCGAAAAAAGATGTCCCTGTGGAGAAGGCGTTGGAGTAGATGGCTTGTTGGGGGAAAAGTCTAGGGAACTTTTCGCTCAGGTGTACCACGGGGGCGCACGAATGTGAAGATGTTGGTTAGACTTGGAAGCGGAGTTGTGGTTGCTGTTGGAGACAAAAGCGATGGAGTCGCGTTAAAGGGCGATCAGAACTCGGTGCACCACTTTGGTGCTGAGCTGCAGGAACCTTGAGTAGGATTTGAAAGCCGTGGGCTTGAACGGCATCTTGGAGCAGGTGAGAAAAGCTGCTGAAGACACCCTGGGCCCGAGACCTGGGGGATGCTTTTAGGATTTGGAGAGTGAAAGGGAGGAGGACACGGAAGACTAACAAGGGAAGAAGAACAATCAAGAAAGCCAGGTGTCCTGGAAACCAAGCGAAGAGGACGTTTTCAGGACTGGATAACTTAAATATTCTGCTGAATGGGGCCGGCATTGGCGCAGCCAGATCCCTGGCTCCTGCGCTTTTAGACGGCGCTTCTGCAAATGGGATTCCTGGGAAGCAGCAGGCCACGGCTTCAATACTTGGGTCCCTGCCACACATGTGGGAGACCCAGGTTGAGTTCCCAGCTCCTGGTTTTGGCCTGGCCTAGCCCTATCTGTTGTAGGCATTTGAGGGGTGAACCAGAGGATGGCTCACTCTCTCTCCCTCTGCCTCTCCCACTCCCTGCCTTTCAAGTAGATGGACAAAAATAAATAAGCATTTTGAAAACTGACCTCATAAGAATTGTGAGAGGAAGCGGTGTCTAAGACAGCACGTGAACATATTATTCCAAATAACTCAATCACAGAACCCACCCAAAGAATGTCCCCTTGTGTCTACTTTCAAACTCTTTTTTGACAGGCAGAGTTAGTGAGAGAGAGAGACAGGGAGAAAGGTCTTCCTTCCATTGGTTCACCCCCCAAATGGCACGCTGTGCCGATCCAAAGCCAGGAGCCAGGTGCTTCCTCCTGGTCTCCCATGTGGGGGCAGGGCCCAAGCACCTGGGCCACAGCAGAGAGCTGGACTGGAAGAGGAGCAACCAGGACAGAATCTGGTGCCTCAACTGGGACTAGAACCCAGGGTGGCAGCACCGCAGGTGGAGGATTAGCCAAGTGAACCACAGTGCCGGCCCAAACTCATTTCTTAAATACCTAGTTGTGTTTATTGAAGTAAAGTAGGTTAGACTATTACTCTTTTTAGAGGGAATTTCATGAATCTTTAATTTTTAATTAAACTCCTTTGAGTCTACTCCGTTTAAATAAAACATTTTAATACATCTGAGGGGGCCAGTGTTGTGGCATAGCAGGTTAAGCTGTTGGCCCGGCTGCTCCACTCCAATGCAGCTCCCTGCACTTGGGAAAGCAATGGAGAATGGCCCAAGTACTAGGGCCCTTGCACCCACATGGGAGACCTGGATGAAGCCCCTAGTTCCTGGTGTCAGCCTGGCTCAGCCCTGACTGTTGGGGACACTTGGGGAGTGAACCAGGGAATGGAAGACTATCTGCCTCTGCCTCTCCCTCTTTGTAACTCTGCCTTTCAAATAAATGAATAAATCTTTTTAAAGAAATTGAAGGAAGGTAAAATTAGTGAGTTGGTGGACACTTTTTGAAAGCCGTGGGCCTTTATTTGAAGAATGAATTGTTTAAATAGATATAGGGAGGACAGTATTATTTTCTAGTCCTTCTAATTAGTGCTTTCACTGTTGTGAATGATAATTAATGAGGATTAATCGTTAAATTTCTTTCCATAGAACATCAGCACTATAATGGCCGTGGCTGGGCTAATGTTACTTCTAAGGAGTGTTCGACTGGTAAGTTGACAAATGAAAAATGCATTATAATAAACAATAGACAGTTAATTTATTCCCACTTCTAAAGAGAATTTTTATCTCAAGAACTATATAATTTTGTTATTCATATGAGAAGCCTTTGAATAATATTTTAGAACAATGAGCATAGTATAAAATCCTGATTTAAAAGTAACACATCCGTAAGATATTAAAGAAAGTAATTGTATTTCCAAAATTACTTTTTTCATGCTTAGAGAGGAATCTGAAGAAGTTTTAGTTTCTTAGAATGTTATAGTCACTACACTCGCATTTCAGACGCTGTGGAATATCTAAGATTATTTTCTGAGGTGCATTTAGATCTGGCTCACAGTTGAATTACTCCCTTAACACTGAGTAATTTATGCTTTTTGGGGGCCCCTTTCAATGTTCTTGATAGATATAGTAGGGATGCATTTGATAATTCAAAATTTAAAAATGTATTTTTCACTTTTTAAATTTTGGTAAAATGCACATAACAAAATTTATCACATAACAACTTTTAATTCTATATGTGGTTCTGTGATATTCAGCACATTCATGTTGTTGTTCAACAAATACCACTGTCTGTCTCCAGAACTCTTCATCTTGCAGAACTAATATACCCACCAAGGTAACTCCCTTCCCTGCCCCCACAGCCCCGACCACCATTATTCCACTTTCTGTCCCTTTAATTTTGGCCCCGTACCTGATATGAGTGGAATCCTACCACATTTGTCATTTTGTGACTGATTTATTTCATGTAGAAGGGTATTCTCAAGGTTTACCCACATTATTGAATATATTGGGATTTCAGTCCTTTTGAATGCTTATAGTATTCCATTGTATGTGTAGCCCACATTTTATTTTTTGATGGACATCTGGGTTGCTTCCACATTTTTTTTTTTTTTTTTGACAGGCAGAGTTAGAGAGAAAGGCAGAGAGAAAGGTCTTCCTTCCGTTGGTCCACCCCCCAAAATGGCCTCTAAGGCCGGCGCTACACCGATCTGAAGCCAGGAGCCAGGTGCTTTCTCCTGGTCTCCCATGCGGTGCAGGGCCCAAGCATTTGGGCCATCCTCCACTGCATTCCCAGGCCACAGCAGAGAGCTGCACTGGAAGAGGAGCAACTGGGACAGAATCCAGCGCCCCAACTGGGACTAGAACCCGGGGTGCTGGTGCCACAGGCGGAGGATTAGCCTAGTGAGCCATGGTGCTGGCTGCTTCCACATTTTTGTTACTATGAATAATGCTGCTGTGAACATGGATGTACAAATATTTCTCTGAGATTCTGCTTTCCGCTTTTTTGAGTGTATACCCAGAAGTGGAATTTCTGGGTCATTGTTTTCTGTGGTGGCTGTACCATTTTTCATTCCTACCAATGGGGTGCCATGGTTCCAGTTTCTTCACATAATACTGTAGAATTATAATACTAATGCTGGTTGTTTTTTTTTTTTTAAAGATTTATTTATTTATCTGAGAGGTAGAGTCACAGACAGAGAGAGGGAGAGACAGAAAGAAAGGTCTTCTATCCACTCTCCAAATGGCTGCAACAGCCAGAGCTGAACTGATTCGAAGCCAGGAGCCAGGACCTTCTTCCGAGTCTCCCACGTGGGTTCAGGGGCCCAAGGACTTGGGCCATCTTCACTGCTTTCCCAGGCCATAAACAAAGAGCTGGATCAGAAGAGGAGCAGTCGGGACACGAACCGGCGCCCATATGGGATGCCAGCGCTGCAGGCAGGGGCTTAGCCTGCTATGCAACAGCACTAACCCTAACACTGTTATTTGCTGTGTTTTGGATAGTCACTTTTTGATAGCCATCCTAATGAGGGTAAGATGATATTTCATTGTGGTTTTAATTTATATTTCTTTCATGATTAGTGATGCTGAGCATCTTTTTACATATTTATTGACCTTCTGTTCCTCTTCTTTAGAAAAGAAAAAAGTCTTTGGCTCATTTTTGAATCAGATCTGCTTTTTGGTTATTGAGTTTTAGGAGTTCTTTCTGTATTTTCGATATGAATCCCTTATCAGATATTTTAAAATTATTTATTTAATTACTTATTTGAGAGAAACAGAGGGAGAAGGACAGGGAGGGTTGGGTGTCAGGAACCCAACTATTTGAGGCTTCATTAGTGGGAAGCTTCAGTTAGAAGCCAGAACCAGGTGTTGAACCCACGCACTGGGACATGGAATGTAGGTATCTGAACTAGCCTCTTAACCTCTAGGCCAAGTACCTGCCATTCCACTTCACTCCCGCCACCTCATTAGATACTTGGTTTGCAAATATTTTTTCCCATTCTGTAGGCTGCCTTTTCTGTTGATAGTGTCCATTGATGCACATGTTTTTAATTTTCATTAAGTCCAGTTTGCCTTTTTGCTTTTTTTACCTATGCCTTTGGGATAACGTTGAAGAAATCATTGCCACATTAAATGTTGTGAAGCTTTTGCTCCATGTTTTCTTTCTAGTTTTAGCTCTTATGTTTAGGTCTTTGATCCATTTTGAATTAATTTTTGCATATGGGTAGATTAAGGAAAAAGAGAAAAGACTGAAATTATTAAAGTCAAAGATCAGAGTTAGGCCATTATTACCAATTCTATAGAAATAAAAGTAAAAACTGTAAGAGAGTACTATGAACCCATTGTATATCAACAAACTGGATAACAGATGAAATGGATAAATTTCTAGAAACCCAAAACCTTTCAAGACTGAATCATGAAAAAATATAAAAATCCAAATGGACCTATAACTAGGGAGGAGGTTAAATCAATAATCAAAAGTCCCCAGGCAGAGCAAGAGTGTGCACCTGGTGGCTTCACTGGTGAATTCTACCAAAGATTTTAAGAAATAACCTGAGTCCTTAAACTTTTTGTCTCAGCCCCTTTAGCCCCAAGACATTGACTTAGAGAAACCAAGTCATTTAGCCCATAAGACATTCCACATTCTGGATTGCTCTGCTACATTGCTGTCGTTTATGAAAATATGCAGTTCAGGGGCAGTGCTGTGGCTCAGAAGGTTAAGCTGCTGTCTGCAGCACTGGCATCCCATATGGGTGCTGGTTCATGTCCCAGCCACTTGATTTCTTTTTTTTTTTTTTAAAGATTTATTTATTTATTTGACAGTCAGAGTTACACAAAGAGAGGAGAGTCAGAAAGAGAGAGAGGTCTTCCATCTGATGGCTTACTCCCCAATTGGCTACGGCTAGAACTGCGCTGATCCAAAACCAGGAGCCAGGAGCTTCTTCCAGGTCTCCCACACGGGTGCAGGGATCCAAGGACTTGGGCCATCTTCTACTGCTTTCCCAGGCCACAGCAGAGAGCTGGATTGGAATTGGAGCAGCTGGGACTCGAACCAGTGCCCATATGCGATGCCAGCACTTCAGACCAGGGCATTAACCCACTGCACCATAGCGCCGGCCCTACCACTTGACTTCTGATCCAGCTCCCTGCTAATGTGCCTGGGAACGCAGCAGAGGATAGCCCCTGCTTGGGGCCCTGCATCCATGTGGGAGATCCCTATGAAGCTCCTGGCTCCTGGCTTTGACCTGGTCCAACCCTGCTTGTTGCGGCCATTTGGAGAATGGCCCAGTGGATGGAAGGTCCCTCCTCTCTCTCTGTCTCTTCCTCCCTCACTGTTAACTCTGACTTTTTTTTTTTAAAGATTTATTTATTAATTTGAAAGTCAGAATTACACACGGAGAGAAAGAGAGGCAGAGAGAGAGAGAGAGAGAGAGGTCTTCCATCCACTGGTTCACTCTCCAGTTGGCTGCAACAGCCGGAGCTGTGCTTCTTCTGGCTCTCCCTTGTGGGTGCAGGGGCCAAGGGACTTGGGCCATGTTCTTCTGCTCTCCCAGGCCATAGCAGAGAGCTGGATCGGAAGTGGAGCAGCCGGGTCTCAAACCGGCGCCCATATGGGATGCCAGCACTGCAGGCGGCAGCTTTACCTGCTATGCCACAGCACGGGCCACAACTCTGACTTTCAAATGAATAAATATCTTTAAAACAAAAAGTTCAACTGAGTTCTACTGTCTTAGTAAGTCGGGTACTAATTTATCCTTCTCTTATGTGAGGTTTTTCATTAGCCGTGATTATTGATGGAGGTTGTAGTGTTGTTGTTGTGGAAGATACAACTATAAAATGTTGCCTAACCTTAGGACCTCATCTGGGATATAGAGATTGAAGCAAATTCTAACTGTTGACTTCTTCTTTCCTTTCTGAACAAAAAATATTATCTTCTTCCTTTTTTTTTTTTTTTTTTTTTTTTTTTGACAGGCAGAGTGGACAGTGAGAGAAACAGAGAGAAAGGTCTTCCTTTTGTCGTTGGTTCACTCTCCAATGGCCGCCGCGGCCAGTGCACTGCAGCCAGTGTACTGCGCTGATCCGAAGGCAGGAGCCAGGTGCTTTCTCCTGGTCTCCCATGGGGTGCAGGGCCCAAGCACTTGGGCCATCCTCCACTGCCTTCCCGGGCCACAGCAGAGAGCTGATCTGGAAGAGGGGCAACTGGGACAGAATCTGGCGCCCCGACCAGGACTAGAACCTGGTGTGCCGGCGCCGCAGGCGGAGAATTAGCCTAGTGAGCCGTGGCGCCGGCCTAAATATTATCTTCTATAAGAGAAAAAAAGAAGAAAATATTGTCAATTAAAAATTATAATTTAATTTGACTCAGCTTTAAATTTTTTCAGCAGTATATGCATAAATAGATTGTACATATATAAAATAGAATATATCCATATAAAGAATAGGATTTTACATATGTGGAATGGGAAATAAAGACTGTTTAAGCAGATTTGTGTGGTGCCACTCACTGCCTTTTAACAGATGGTGTCATATTTTGATATTGCAAGCTTTTAGAGGGTAGGAATTTGTTTAACATCCTCCATGCAATCACTTGACATAGAAAAAGAGTGAACAGTGGTGAATAACGAGTTCTAAATAAGGTTTCTATAAATGGTTTTGATTAAATCATATTAAAATATTAGTAATAAGAAAAACATTTTTGATAGATATGTCTTCTTGTTGAATGTTTACATAACATTTTGACATTTTAAATTTTAAATGAAAAAATAATTATAATTATTTTTCTCCTTGTAAATCTACAGACATCAAAATTTACAAGCTCTTCAGATATTCCAGTAGAATTTATAAGGAAGAACGTTAAGCTACGTGGACGATTACGCCGAATAACTGAGAATGGTTTAGAAATTGAACATATTCCTATTACTTTACCTATAATACCATCCTGGAGGAGTAAGTAAGATACAAGAATAATAAAACTAAATAACTATTGTAGCATTCTTTTTTTAAAAAAAAAGATTTATTTATTTTATTTGAAAGGTAGAGTTACAGAGAGGCAGAAAGAGAGAGAGAGAGAAAGACAGAGAGAGAGAGAGAGCAAGTGAGAGGTGTCTTCCATCCACTGGTTCACTCCCGAGATGGCCGCAATGGCTGGAGCTGTGCTGATCTGAAGCCAGGGGCCAGGAGCTTCTTCCGGGTCTCCCACATGGGTGTAGGGGCCCAAGGACTTGGGCCATCTTCTGCTTTCCCAGGCAATAGCAGAGAGCTGGATGGGAAGTGGAGCAGCCAGGTCTTGAACCGGTGGGATGCCTGCATTGCAGGCAGTGGCTTTACCCGTTGTACCACAGCACTGGCCCCTGTAGTGTCCTTTTATTTGACATTATTTATAAAACAGCAAAAGAGGCTGGCGCCGCGGCTCACTAGGCTAATCCTCCGCCTAGCGGCGCCGGCACACTGGGTTCTAGTCCCGGTTGGGGCGCCGGATTCTGTCCCTGTTGCCCCTCTTCCAGGCCAGCTCTCTGCTGTGGCCAGGGAGTGCAGTGGAGGATGGCCCAGGTGCTTGGGCCCTGCACCCCATGGGAGACCAGGAAAAGCACCTGGCTCCTGGCTCCTGCCATCGGATCAGCGTGGTGCGCTGGCTGCAGCGCACCGGCCGCTGCGGCCATTGGAGCGTGACCCAACGGCAAAGGAAGACCTTTCTCTCTGTCTCTCACTGTCCACTCTGCCTGTCAAAAAAAAAAAAAAAAAAAAAAAAAACCAGCAAAAGATGTCATTTTAATTCATAATAACCCTCTACTGCCTGGGAGCGAGTCTGAACTCTTGGCCTTATATACCAGGAAATGTTTTAATTTGACCCTAGGTTTCCCTTTCTCCCTGCTCTCTTTTTAGCTTTTATTCAGTTATTCCATCTTAGTCATTCAAGTATTCACTTTTCATTTCATAAATGTTGCCACCTACTATGGTCAAGGCTGGATGAAATAAACAAGATTCCTCTAAAGCTTGGAGCTTAGGGTCTTGATGGAAGGTAGAGAATGAACAAATGAAAAATTGTCCTAAGAGCTATGAAGAAAAGGAGTGGAAAAAAAAAAAGAAGAAAAGAGCCCACACCGAGGCTCACTTGGCTAATCCTCTGCCTGCAGTGCCAGCACCCTGGGTTCTAGTCTCGGTTGGGGCGCCAGATTCTTTCCCAGTTGCTCCTCTTCCAGTCCAGCTGTCAGCTCTCTGCTGTGGCCCGGGAAAGCAGTGGAGGACGGCTCAAGTGCTTGGGCCTTGCACCTGCACGGGAGACCAGGAGGAAGTGCCTGGCTCCTGGCCTCGGATCGGCGCAGCACAGGCGTGTGGTGGCCATTTTGGGGGGTGAACCAATGGAACGAAGACCTTTCTCTCTGTCTCTCTCTCTCTCACTAACTATGCCTGTCAAAAAAAAAAAAAAAAAAAAAAAAAAAAGGAGGGGGGAAGAAAAGAAAAGGAGTGGAGTGCTAGGATAGAGAATTATTGGGTGGTTACAAGAGAGGTAGAGGAATCTGTACTTGGAGAGAAAACAGAGAAGGCCTCACAGAATTAAGAGGGGCCAACCAGGAGAAGCACAAGCAGGACTGAACTTGACTCTGATAATGCACGTGAGACTCTGCAGCCGAGGCCCAGGGAGATCAGAAAGGGAGCAAGAGCCAGATCTGCAATTCCCATTTCTCCCTGCTTCACATCGAAGGCCCCACGCCACACACCTTTATGTGCATTCTCATGGCCCTGTGCATGGCTCATGGCTTTTAAACTCCAATTGATTCTTTAAGATCCAACTCAACTGTCAGCTCTTTTGTGAAGCTTATTTCACTCTCAAACAGAATTAGTCCTTTTCTTAACTAAGTCCCACAGCAATATACTTTTTTTTTTTAAAAGATTTATTTGTTTATTTGAAAGGCAGGGTGACAGAGAAGCAGAGGCAGAAAGAGAGAAGTCTTCTATCCACTGGTATACTCCTCAAATGTTTGCAACAGCTGGAGCTAGGCTGATCTGAAGCCAGGAACCAGGAACTTCTTCCAGGTCTCACACGCAGGTGCAGGGGCCCAAGGACTTGGGCCATCTTCCACTGCTTGCCCAGGCCGTAGCAGAGAGCTGGATTGGAAGTGGAGCAGCTGGGACTTGAATCAGTGCCCCACTGCAGAAGGCAGCTTTATTGGCTATGCCACAGTGCCATCCTACCCCACACCCCAGCAATTCATGCACACTGCATAATCACTTACATTTCCTATGATGATTATGTATTTAGGTTTATATCTCAAAACTATGAGCATCTGGTGGCAAAGATTTTTTACTATTTATCTTGATATTCTCAGTCCCTAGAAAAATATTAGCAAAGACATTTGGTTAAATTTGTCAAGTGAATTAATTTATTCTATTTAATATCTTCTAAATTTTATGAAGAAAGGAGTCCTTGGATTTTTTTTAAAATGCCTAGATGAATGAATATTACTCTGTTCAATGAGATTTAACTGAAAAGGGAAAAAATTGAATTTTTCCTCTAAACATATCTGGCATGATTAATTTGTTTTTGTTATTGTTTTGTTTATTTTTAAAAATTTATTTATTTGAAAGAGTTACAGAGGGGAGAGAAAGAGATTCACTCCCCAAATGGCCACAGCATTTGGAGCTGGGCCAGACTGAAGCCAGGAGCCTGGAACTCCTTCAGGATCTCCCATATGGGTCTAAGGTCCCAAGCACTTAGGCCATCTTCCGCTGCTTTCCCAGCCGCATCAGCAGGGAGCTGGATAGCAGCAGCTTAACCCTCTGTGCCACCATGCTGGCCCCAGGATTGATTTTTTTAGCAAACCAAAGTGAACTTATACAATTTGAATGAGTATTGTTCCCTAAAGAGAGATTACCTAGGATGTCTGTTTTTTTTTTTTTTTTCTTGGCTACTTTACCTAAGGAGAGAATTTATACTTCTGAAGTCCTTTAGCTTCCCAGTTGTGATAATTTAAATATCCTCTCTCTGAAACAGTAATGACCTTAAAAAAAAAAAAAAGACTTATTTATTTATTCAAAAGGTGGACTTACAGAGAGGCAGAGAGAGAATCTTCCATACGCTGGTTCACTCCCCAAATGGCCACAACAGCTGGAGCTGGACTTATCTAAAGCCAAGAGCCAGGAGCTTCTTCTGGGTCTCCCACATGGGTGCAGGGGCCCAAGTGCTTGGGCCATCTTCTACTGCTTTCCCAGGCCATAGCAGAGAGCTGAATTGAAAGTGGAGCAGCTGGGACTTGAACTGGTGCCCATATGCGATGCCCGCACTGCAGATGGTGGCTTTACCCACCACGCCACAGTGCTGGCCCTACAGTAATGACTCTTTAGAGCTCAGGCAGTAAGGTTGCCCCCTGTGGTTGTCCAGTCTGTGTACTGCACAATTCCATGGGCAGGATTCAGTAGAAATCTGACTCTGATACTGAGCCATGCCACAGCACTAAAATTGCTATATATGCTTATTGCTATTAATGAGTTTCACATCATATAATATATTTATATGTCATGGTGCATAGAATCAAAATTTCAGAGCTGAAGGAAACCTCAGAAAGCCTTGATCCCCACCTTTCTTTTCTTTTTTTTTTAAATTTATTCAATAATTTGCAAGAGTTACACAAAGAGAGGAGAGCCAGAGAAAGAGAAAGGGAGAGAGAGAGAGAGAGAGAGGTTGAGAGAGGTCTTCTATCCGCTGGTTCACTCCTCAATTGGTCGCAATGGCCAGAGCTGCGCCAATCCAAAGCCAAGAGCCAGGAGATTCTTCTGGTGGGCCCCTCACCTTTCTTTTCCATCTCACTTATTTTAGTGATATTTTCTTTTTTTTTTTTTTTTTTTTTTTTTTTTTGACAGGCAGAGTGGACAGTGAGAGAGAGAGACAGAGAGAGAAAGGTCTTCCTTTGCCGTTGGTTCACCCTCCAATGGCCGCCGCTGCAGCCGGCGCACCGCGCTGATCCTGGCAGGAGCCAGGAGCCAGGTGCTTTTCCTGGTCTCCCATGGGGTGCAGGGCCCAAGCACCTGGGCCATCCTCCACTGCACTCCCTGGCCACAGCAGAGAGCTGGCCTGGAAGAGGGGCAACCGGGACAGAATCCGGCGCCCCAACCGGGACTAGAACCCGGTGTGCCGGCGCCGCAAGGTGGAGGATTAGCCTATTGAGCCACGGCGCCGGCTCTTTAGTGATATTTTCTATAGAGATTATACATATGAAATCTGCCTTTCTAAAACAAAAAATTTAAAAAAAATTTAAAAATTTAAAAAATCATGGTATAGAACTATATTTGTTAAAATTGGAAGATAGTACTGTTATTAAATTAAAATACAGTTTTTACAATTTTATTGGTAGTAACAGCTGATGTTGTTAAAAGACATGTCTGTAGTTTTATATATATATGTATAGAAGTAAATCTTGACAGTTGGTTAAGTCTTCTTGTTCTTGGAACTTTACTGAAATTGTTGTTTGAAATTATTCCATTTGTTACATACTTTTATTGTTTTATAACTTGAATATAGAAACAAATGAACCAAAATTTAGAGAGTCTGGGTATTTATAAATGAGCACAGTATATTCGGGTGTTTTCTAAATGGCTTTGGAATTTGCTTTTGCAACGTGCTGTTAAAGCTAAATTCTTTTCTGTCGCTCCCCCTCTTCGTGGAGGAGCAACACAGGACCCTGCGCTGTTCTTTTTGTCTGCTCGGCCCTCCCCGGGTTTGCTGCTGGTTCTTCCCGGGTTGGCTACTATCCCTTCCACCTTCGTGGAAGGGCAGTTCCCCCTGGCCGCATTCCCCACTTCCGCAGGGGAGCGGCACACCGCCGGCCGGCTTTTCTCGGGGGCTGCACGGGTTCCCCTTAGATGTTCCCCATAGATGTTCCTGGTGCATGCCGTCTCTCTCCTCCTTTATAGTCCTCCTCCGCCAATCCCAACTCGGCTGAGTACGCTGCTCTCCAATCAGGAGCAAGTCCTACAGTTAATTGGTTGAACTGGAGGCAGCTGTGCGGAAGCTGTTTACTTCTCTCCCAGCGCCATATTGTGGGAGAGCAGATGCATAGAATAAGTCCTAATTCGAGTAACTTAGTCTAGTCCGGATTGCTCCCCACAGATCCCCCTTTCTTTTTATTTTTTAGCGTTGATACGCGCCTGTCTTCGGTGTCCCACGGCACACACTCTGCTCTACTTGCTAGAGTTGCCACAGGCTCTTACAAGTCCTATCAGGCAAACCGAATCCGGGTCCTCTCTTCGCCATGTTGTGAGGAGGTTTTTAGGCGCTGATGCGTGCCTGTGTTCGGTGCCCTGCAGCGCATACTCTGCTCTGCTAGAACTGCCTGCAGGTGTTTACAAAACCTATCAGGCAAACCGAATCCAAGCCTTCTCATTGCCGTATTGTGGGGGAGACTTATTAGTGTTGATTTGTGCCTATCTTCGGTGACCTGCAGCTCATACTCTGGTCGAGCTTTGCTGGCGCTTACCGCCTTAAATCAGGCAGACCGAATCCAAGCCTCCTAATTGTTGCATTGTGGGGAAGCTTTACTGATGTCAATTCGTGCCTGTCTTCGGTGACCTGCGGCTAGCCGCCCAGGTGCTCATCGCCTCACTAATCGGGCAGACCGAATCCAAGCCTTCTAATTGGCATGTTGAGGGGAGGCCTTATTTTTCTCTATTTCTCTATCTCCGGGCATTCCTACCTCTCCCATTTCACTTCTATCTTCCAGCATTCCCATTTCTCTTTTACTTCACTTCCAAACTTCTGTTTCTCTTATCCCCGCAGCTTCCCGCTCTCATTCCATTTCTAAACTTCTGTTTTCTCTTATCCCCGCGGCTTCCCGGCACCTCGCCCCGCCGGCGGGTTCCCGGCTCTGCGCCGCTTCAGCCCGCGCGCCTCTCTCATCTGCGCAGCTTCCCGGCTTTGCGCGGCTCGGCTTTGCGCGCTCCGCGGTCTCCACGCTTAACCCTTTCGCGTCTGAACCACGGCCTACGCCAGCCCCGTTCCCTATCTATTCACGCCCCGTGCTCTCTCTGCACGCGGCGGCTTCCGCGAGTAACACAGCGTAGCTTGCGTCTCCGCCACTAGGATTCAATCTAAGTTCCCCGGGCTAGCCTGGCGAATTCAACCCAGCGTACGTCTCCGCCCCACGATCTGGCTTCCCGTCCTTTGCTCCCCGGGCTAATCAGACGGATCCCAATCTGGCTTACGTCTCAGCTTCTGGTTTCAGCTTTTCGCCCCCTATTCCCGGGCTAACTTGAGAACCCCAAAGTGGCTTTCGTTTCCGCCTTGGCCTGCCCCCCGCGGCTTCAATTTCCCTAACATTTTTCTCTACCCGGTATGTTTTCCCAAGCTTTCCTCCAACAATATTCCTCCCTCATTTCTCCTGGCCTCTCCCCACAGTCCGCGTCCGAGTCTGTTTGTTCTAGCTTTCACTTTCGCTTTCGACCTTAGAGATTTCTCCCAGCTTCCCCCCGTAGTCCGTATCCGAGTCTATGCCTAGGCTTTCAATAGCTTCTTCCGGCTCCTTTTTCGTCCGGCTTTTCCCTAGGCTGTTTCGAGTCTATGCCTAGGCTTTCAATAGCTTCTTCCGGCTCCTTTTTCGTCCGGCTTTTCCCTAGGCTGTTTGCTAGTTTCTCTCTCCGATATTTTCCCTAGTTCTTCCCGTTTCTTCCCGTTTCTTCCCTCCTAAGTTTGCTATCCGTCCTAGGTTTCCTATCCGAGCTAGGTTTCCTATCCGAGTCACGGCACCATTATGTCGCTCCCCCTCTTCGTGGAGGAGCAACACAGGACCCTGCGCTGTTCTTTTTGTCTGCTCGGCCCTCCCCGGGTTTGCTGCTGGTTCTTCCCGGGTTGGCTACTATCCCTTCCACCTTCGTGGAAGGGCAGTTCCCCCTGGCCGCATTCCCCACTTCCGCAGGGGAGCGGCACACCGCCGGCCGGCTTTTCTCGGGGGCTGCACGGGTTCCCCTTAGATGTTCCCCATAGATGTTCCTGGTGCATGCCGTCTCTCTCCTCCTTTATAGTCCTCCTCCGCCAATCCCAACTCGGCTGAGTACGCTGCTCTCCAATCAGGAGCAAGTCCTACAGTTAATTGGTTGAACTGGAGGCAGCTGTGCGGAAGCTGTTTACTTCTCTCCCAGCGCCATATTGTGGGAGAGCAGATGCATAGAATAAGTCCTAATTCGAGTAACTTAGTCTAGTCCGGATTGCTCCCCACACTTTTCTACTATTTTTAGAGGAGCCATGTGGTGCTTTGCTGGTTAAGTTGGCTGGGGTAGAACTCGCTGAATCTGGGAAGATATGGTTACAAAAGGAGCTAAAGCCTTCCCAGTTGCTGTGGTTCCAACTTCTTGGAAAGGAGAATTCGGCACTCTTCTGCTACCTGTTAGTGAATAGAGTAAGTAGTGTAAAACGAGTGATATTTCATTATTTATATGTAAGCACATTAAATCATAATGCCATATATTTATAATGGGCTCTGAATTTTTAAAATATTTAAAACTGCTACTAATAGTGATTATATATCAAGAATCATGTTTTTATTATATAAACCTTGTTATGAAATTTTAGTTACATATGTAGTATATATTTATTGTAGAAAAAAATAGAAATTGACAGGATAAAACTTCAGAAGCAGGCTTTTGGCCCAGCAGTGAAGACTCCCACATACCATATTGGAATGCCTGGATTTTGAGTCCGGGCTCTGCTTTTGATTTCAGCTTCCTTTTTTTTTTTTTTTTTTTAAAGATTTACTTATTTATTTGAAAGCCAGAGTTACACAGAGAGAGAAGGAGAGGCAGAGAGAGAGGTCCTCCATCTGCTGGTTCACTCCCCAATTGGCTGCAACAGCTGGAGCTGCGCCGATCCGAAGCTGGAAGCCAGGAGCCCCTTCCGGGTCTCCCACACAGGTGCAGTGTCGCTCCCCCTCTTCGTGGAGGAACGACACTAAGCCCTGCCTAGGCTTCATATCCGAGTCACGGCACCATTATGTCGCTCCCCCTCTTCGTGGAGGAACGACACAAGACCCTGCGCTGTTCTTTTGTCTGCTCGGCCCTCCCCGGGTTTGCTGCTGGTTCTTCCCGGGTTGGCTACTGTCCCTTCCACCTCCGTGGAAGGGCGGTTCCCCCTGGCCACTTTCCCCACTTCCGCAGGGGAGCGGCACACCGCCGGCCGGCTCTCTCGGGGGCTGCACAGGTGTTCCCCTTAGGTGTTCCCCTTAGATGTTCCTGGTGCATGCCGTCTCTCTCCTCCTTTATAGTCCTCCTCTGCCAATCCTAACTCGGCTGCCCACACGCCGAGCACGCTGCTCTCCTCCAATCAGGAGCAAGTCCTACAGTTTATTGGCTGAACTGGAGGCAGCTGTGTAGAAGCTGTTTTCTTCTCTCCCAGCGCCATATTGTGGGAGAGCAGATGCATAGAATAAGTCTTAATTCCAGTAACTTAGTCTAGTCCGAGTTGCTCCCCACAGATCCCCCTTTCTTTTTATTTTTGGCGTTGATACGCGCCTGTCTTCGGTGCCCCGTGGCACACACTCTGCTCTGCTTGCTAGAGTTGCCACAGGTTCTTACAAGTCCTATCAATCAGGCAAACCGAATCCGGGTCCTCTCTTCGCCATGTTGTGAGGAGGTTTTTAGGCGCTGATGCGTGCCTGTGTTCGGTGCCCTGCAGCGCATGCTCTGCTCTGCCTGCAGGTGCTTACAAGCCCTATCAGGCAAACCGAACTCAAGCCTTCTCATTGCCATATTGTGGGGAGGCCTATTGGTGTTGATTCGTGCCTATCTTCGGTGACCTGCAGCTCATACTCTGGTCGAGCTGCCTGCTGGTGCTTACCGCCTTACTAATCAGGCAGACCGAATCCAAGCCTTCTCATTGCCATATTGTGGGGAGGCCTATTGGTGTTGATTCGTGCCTATCTTCGGTGACCTGCGGCTCATACTCTGGTCGAGCCGCCTGCTGGTGCTTACCACCTTACTAATCAGGCAGACCGAATCCAAGCCTTCTCATTGCGGTATTGTGGGGAGACTATTGATGTTAATAACGTGCCCGTCTTCGGTGACCTGCGGTGCATAAGCTGCTAGCCGCCCGCAGGTGCTCATCGCCTCACTAATCAGGCAGACCGAATCCAAGCCTTCTCATTGCGGTATTGTGGGGAGACTATTGATGTTAATAACGTGCCTGTCTTCGGTGACCTGCGGCGCATAAGCTGCTAGCCGCCCGCAGGTGCTCATCGCCTCACTAATCAGGCAGACCGAATCCAAGCCTCTCATTGCCATGCTGTGGGGAGGCCTTACTTCTCTATTTCTCTATCTCCGGGCATTCCTATCTCTCCTATTTTACTTCTATCTACCAGCATTCCTATTTCTCTCATTTTACTTCTAAAACTTCTGTTTCTCCTATCCCTGCGGCTTCCTGGCGCCCGCCCCGAGGCTGCTTCTCGGCGGCTTCCCGGCTCTGAGCCGCTTCAGCCTGCGCCTCTCTCATCTGCGCGGCTTCCCGGCTTCGTGCCTGCACCACGGCCTCGCACCAGCCCAGCGTTCCCTATCTACTTGTGCCCCGCACGCTCTCTCTGCGCGCGGCAGCCTCCGCGAGTCACACAGCGTAGCTTACGTCTCCGCCACTAGCATTCAATCTAAGTTCCCCGGGCTAACCTGGCGAATTCAACCCAGCTCACGTTTCCGCCCCACGATTTGGCTTCCCGTCCTTTGCTCCCCGGGCTAATCAGACGGATCCCAACCTGGCTTACGTTTCCGCTTCTGGTTTTAACTTTTCGCCCCTTATTCCCGGGCTAACTTGAGAATCCCAAAGTGGCTTTCGTCTCCGCCTCGGCCTGCCCCCCGTGGCTTCAATTTCCCTAACATTTTTCTCTACCCGGTATGTTTCCCTAAGTTTTCTTCCAACAATATTCCTCCCTCATTTCTCCTGGCTTCTCCCCACAGTCCGTATCCGAGTCTGTTTGTTCTAGCTTTCACTTTCGCTTTCGACCTTAGAGATTTCTCCCAGCTTCCCCCCGTAGTCCGTATCTGAGTCTATGCCTAGGCTTTCAATAGCTTCTTCCGGCACCTTTTTCGTCCGGCTTTTCCCTAGGCTGTTTGCTAGTCTCTCTCTCCAATATTTTCCCATTTCTTCCCGTTTCTTCCCTCCTAAGTTTCATATCCGTCCTAGGTTTCCCATCCGAGTCACGGCACCATTATGTCGCTCCCCCTCTTCGTGGAGGAACGACACTAAGCCCTGCCTAGGCTTCATATCCGAGTCACGGCACCATTATGTCACTCCCCCTCTTCGTGGAGGAACGACACAAGACCCTGCGCTGTTCTTTTGTCTGCTCGGCCCTCCCTGGGTTTGCTGCTGGTTCTTCCCGGGTTGGCTACTGTCCCTTCCACCTCCGTGGAAGGGCGGTTCCCCCTGGCCACTTTCCCCACTTCCGCAGGGGAGCGGCACACCGCCGGCCGGCTCTCTCGGGGGCTGCACAGGTGTTCCCCTTAGGTGTTCCCTTAGGTGTTCCCCTTAGATGTTCCTGGTGCATGCCGTCTCTCTCCTCCTTTATAGTCCTCCTCTGCCAATCCTAACTCGGCTGCCCACACGCCGAGCACGCTGCTCTCCTCCAATCAGGAGCAAGTCCTACAGTTTATTGGCTGAACTGGAGGCAGCTGTGTAGAAGCTGTTTTCTTCTCTCCCAGCGCCATATTGTGGGAGAGCAGATGCATAGAATAAGTCTTAATTCCAGTAACTTAGTCTAGTCCGAGTTGCTCCCCACAGTGCAGGGGCCTAAGGACTTGGGCCATCCCTATGCTGCTTTCCCAGGCCATAGCAGAGAGCTGGATCAAAGTGGAGCAGGGGCCCCTTCAGCTTCTTTCCAAGGCAGCGAATGAGGGCTCAAGTCCTAGGGTTCCTGACACCCACCCACATGGGTAATCCACATTGAGTTTCAGCCTCCTGGCTTTGCCCTGGCCTAGCCTCTGCTGTTTTGGGTGGTGGGGAGTGAACCAGTGGATAGAAGATCTCTGTCTCTGTGTCTCTGCCTTTCAAATAAATATGGACATAAATAAATAAAAATTATTTTATAAAAATAAAAATGTGGGGCTGGCACTGTGGCACAGCAGGTAAAGCTGCTGTCTGCATCTCATATGGGCACCAGTTCAAGTCCTTGCTGCTTTGCTTCCAATCTAGCTCTCTGCTATGGCCTGGGAAAGCAGTAGATGATGGCCCACATGGGAGACCTGGAAGAAGCTCCTGGCTCCTGGTTTCAGATCAGCTCAGCTCTAGCCGTTGCAGCCATTTGGGGGAATGAACCAGTAGATGGAGGACCGATCTCTCTCTCTCTCTCTCTCTCTTTTTCTCTTTCTCTGCCTCTACCTCTCTGTAACTTTGCCTTTCAAATAAATTTTTTAAAATTTGGAAAAAGAAAAAAGCTTTCAAATTATTAATGACTGGCATTGCTACTTAAGAAATATTTTATACATGTGTTTATATATAGGTATATTATAACATACTTGTTATTGGAAACAGCTTGTTGAGTGAAGCTTTCAGCTGGGAACTTCAGAGAGCAAGGGTGTTTTTAGAAGGTAAATATTGCCCAGTCTTGCCAGGTGCTTTGTTAATAGGTATGTCATAGTGTGTACGTTTTTAACTCTAAATTGAGCCTTTTCCAGTCCTATTTATGATCAGTGTGCGGTCAGCCGTCTGAAGGCGTTGCCTCTGAGTGTTCTTACCTTTATGCTTGGCCATAGCATCTGTAGAACAAGGAGTGACAGTTTGCTGATTCACTGTCCTGAATGCTTAGATGCACCTTTTTTCATCTTTCTTTCCATGGCTGCAAGATAGGCTTACTTCATTTCAAGTATATGTAGCTGTTACTGTTATAGCTATCAAGATTTCGACAACATGGAAAAAATTTGTGACAATTTTTTGACAGGCAGAGTGGACAGTGAGAGAGAGAGAGAGAGAAAGGTCTTCCTTTGCCGTTGGGTCACCCTCCAATGGCCGCCGAGGCCGGCGCACTGCGGCCGGCACACCATGCTGATCCGAAGGCAGGAGCCAGGTGCTCCTCCTGGTCTCCCATGGGGTGCAGGGCCCAAGCACCTGGGCCATCCTCCACTGCACTCTCTGGCCACAGCAGAGAGCTGGCCTGGAAGAGGGGCAACCGGGACAGAATCCAGCGCCCCGACCGGGACTAGAACCCGGTGTGCCGGCGCCGCAGGCGGAGGATTAGCCTAGTGAGCCGCGGCGCCGGCCTGGATTGATTTCTAATTTATGTTTATGGGTGGCTACTGATAAGGAATGTAGAAAAATAAAAGGATTAAATGTTGTGACAGGATTATGAACAGTTTTTTATTTTTAAAGTCCTTATTATAATCGCTGGCATTCTGGTGCAATGGGTTAAAGCCCAGACCTGCAGTGCAAGCATTCCATATTTGGTGCCAGTTCGAGTTCTGGCTGCTTCACTTCCGATCCAACTTCCTGCTGATGTGCCTAGGAAAGCAGTAGAAGATGGCCCAGGGGCCGGCACTATGGCATAGTGGGTAAAGCCACTTCCTGCAGTGCTGGCATCCCATATGGGTGCTGGTTTGAGTCCTGGCTGCTCCACTTTCAATCCAGCTCCCTGCTGTGGCCTGGGAAAGCAGTAGAAGATGTCCCAAGTCCTTGGGCCCCTGCACTCACATTAGAGACCTGGAAGAAGCTCCTGGCTCCTGGCTTTGGATTGGCACAGCTCTGGCTGTTTCAGCCAGTTGGGGAGTGAACCAGCAGATGGAAGACCTCTCTCACCTCTCTCTCTCTACCTCTCCTTCTCCCTGTGTGTAACTCTGACTTTCAAAGAAATAAATCTTTAAGAAAAAAAAAAAAAAAGATGGCCCAGGTCCTTGGGCCCCTGCACCCATGTGGGAGACCTAGAAGAAGCTCCTAGCTTCAGACAGGTCCAGCTCTGGCCATTGCAGCCCCGTTTGGGGAGTGAACCAGCAGATGGAAGACTTCTGTCTCTGTCTCTACCTCTTTCTGTAACTTTGTCTTTCCGATAAATAAAATAAATCTTTAAAAAAAAAGTTCTTATTACACAACACAAAAGACTCACTTTAAGGAAAAAACCTTATATTAAAACAATCAGGGCAGGGCCAGTGTTTTGGTGTACTAGGTTAAGTGCCCCCTGTGATGCCTGTGTCTCAGAGGAGCACCGATTTGAGTTCTGGCTCTTCCACTTCTGATCCAGTTCCCTGCTAGTGCACATGGGAAAGCAGCAGAGGATGGCCCAGGTACTTGGGCTACTGCAACCCATGTGGGAGACCTGGATGGAGTGCCAGGATCCTGGCTTTGTCCTGGCCAAGCCCCAGCTGTTGTGGCCATTTGTAGAGTGAACCTGCAGATGAAAAATCCTTCTCTGTCTCTCCGTTCTGTAACTCTGCCTTATCAATCAATCAATCAACAAATACATCTTTAAAAAAATACAAACCTTTAGGGGGCAGGCATTTGGCTTAGTGATTAAGACTGCCTGTGTCTCATATTGGAGTACCTGGGTTTGATACCTATTTCCAGCTTCCGATTCCAGCTTTCTGCTAATGCAGACCCTGGGAGACAGCAGTGATAGCTCAAGTACTTGGTTTCTTGTCACCGACATGGAAGACCTAGACTGAGTTCCAGGCTCTTGGCTCCAGCCCTGGCCTTGGCCCTGGCCCAGCCCCAGATGTTGTGGGCATCTGGGGAATAAACCAGTGGATAGAGTTTTCGTTCTCTCTCTGTCCTCTGTTAAATTAAAAAATGTGTGTGTGTGCATTTCTATATATATATATGAATTTTCTAATTCTCAAAAGCCTTTTGAAGTATTAATAGAAAGCCGAACGAAATCTATTAGTTTTAAAACTTTAAATATGTCCAGAACATATTCAGTTCTTTCAAAATAAAAGTGATCTAAAGCAAACTGTTTAAAACATCTTACATTTTAAAGTAAATTAATAATACAAAATTAGATAAAACATACCAAAAGCCTTATAAATATAAAATCTTCTCTTGTAAGTTGAGGAGTATAATTACCGCAAGTGAAGATGATTATGTTGATGATGAAGATAACATATTTTGAGTGTTTTCCATGTGCCAGACCCTGAGCTAAGTGCTATGCTTATATTGTGTCACTTTTCCACAAGATCACCTAGAAAGTTAGTGTTGTCATTCCCACTGATAGTTGGGATTCTTAGGGAAGATGTGTTCCAACCAACTTGTCCTGATTCCTGGGCCCACACTTTATATATCTTTACGTTTTGTTGCTTCCCAGGTGACAAAACTATGGCATATGCTTATTGTGATAATTTATTTCTCCTGTTTCAATTTTACTAAATGTGTGAGGTTGAATTTTAATTAATCTGACTTTGACTCAAGGGATTGAGATAATAAAATTTAGAAGATGAGAAAAATATGGTAAAACCTTTACAGTTGTCATTAACTCTATCTTATCTTCTTTCCTGGAAGCCCCATACCATGTGTTCAGCTACATTTTATTGACCAGACCATGATAGATGCCTACCACTGAAATAAAAGCTGAGACATCAATCCTTTAGGTAGATCCAAGCAAACTTTGCCTTCATTCAGTAAGGAAGGATGTAAAAATGAGCATTGGATATTTATTGTTAAATATTTATAAAAAATTTTATTTTAAAAAACTGTATAATTTGAAAGGCAGAGAGAGAAATCTTCCATCCTCTGGTTCACCCCTCAAATACTCAGAAGAGTCAGTGGTGAGCCAGGCCAAAGACAGCACCCAGAAATTCCAGCTTGATCTCCCATGTGGGTGACAGGAACCTAACTACTTGGACCGATGTCTACTGTCTCTCAGGAGCATTATCAGGGAACTGAATTGGAAGTGGAGTAACTGGGACTGAAACCAGGCACTGAGATATGGGATGCCAGGGTACCACGCCACTGGTTAACTCACTGCATCACAGTTCCATGCACCAAGAAAACACTCCCTATATTTTATTGATTTTAAACCTCTTGGCTTTAGAGATTGATGAGTCTGGAGAATTTTGTTATAAAAGAGTCAGTTAAGCCGGCGCTGCGGCTCACTAGGCTAATCTTCCGCCTAGCGGCGCCGGCACACCGGGTTCTAGTCCCGGTCGGGGCGCCGGATTCTGTCCCTGTTGCCCCTCTTCCAGGCCAGCTCTCTGCTGTGGCCAGGGAGTGCAGTGGAGGATGGCCCAAGTGCTTGGGCCCTGCACCCCATGGGAGACCAGGAAAAGCACCTGGCTCCTGGCTCCTGCCATCGGATCAGCGCAGTGTGCCGGCCGCAGCGCGCCGGCCTCGGCGGCCATTGGAGGGTGAACCAACGGCAAAGGAAGACCTTTCTCTCTGTCTCTCTCTCTCACTGTCCACTCTGCCTGTCAAAAAATAATAAAAAATAAAAATAAAAATAAGAGTCAGTTGACTTTGAGCAAAAATCTTGGATTTAGCAATAGCAATTTTAAGCTGTTGAAGTCCCCTTTGTTTTAAATTTTTGGCTTTTTTTTGGAGCACTAGAATTACAAATGATGCTTTTAAAGTAATTTAGATGCTATGGGTATAAGAATTTTCTTAAATAATTTTTTTTAATTCTAGGGTAGATATTTTACGGTGAATCTAAATGAGGAAATTTTGAGAAGAGGCCTTGGCAAAACTGTTCTTGTTAAAGGGTTAAATTATAATTCTAAACTCTATTGGAGAATTCACAGGAGGTTACTTAAAGCTGAATTAACAGCGCTAAAAAAAGGAGAAGGAATATGGAAGGAAGAATCTGAAAAACAAAGTTATTTGGAAAAATTTAAAGACTCATGGAGAGAAATATGGAAAAAAGAAAGTTATTATGAAAAATTTAGAATGACTTATGAAATATGGAAAGAGAACATTAATAACTATTCCTTAATACTGAAGTTCAGAGAACTTATGAGTCGTTTACACTTCCGTAGAAAAGGATGAAATATCCAAGAGGTTTACAGGTGACCTGAGCAGAAGAATAAACTCTGTAAATATATGTACATTCTTCATTGCCTTGAAATGAAAATTTTCCAAAATGATGAAGCTGTAGTCTAATGGTATTTACATATTTAAAAGATAATTATGATAAATGTTATATAGAATTAATTTCAAGAAATTATGATTCATGTAATATACTTTTAGGAATATACAAAGTCACTGGGGTAAAGGATGCAAATACTGTGGTGCCAATATTTGGAAATAAGGTTTAACTGTTGGCCGTTTTGTTGTTTGAGTTATTTGTGACAGCTGTATTTAATTTTTGTGTAAGGAGAATATTTATTTATTTTTTTCTGTCTTACCAGCTTTCATTATTCATAATAAAGGAATACCTAATACTTGATGACTGAGGCTACTCTTTGTCTCCCAGTGCTTCCTAACTGCGTGTGAATTTGGAGCATGGCTACAAGTGAACGTCACAGAGACCATTCCTGGCCATAAAGAATGACTAACTTACCTGTTGCTAGCTGGGGGCAGAACCCTAGGGACCAGAAACAACTTGCTGAGGATGGCAGCAGGGAGAATAGAAAGAATGGGGTTGTCTTAGGTCATTGTTGAGATCTGAAATAGCCAGTATTGAACTGCCCTGCTTCCCAGTTAATTGCTATGTGAGACTGTGAATTTTTAAAAAAAGATTTATTTATTTGACAGAGTTTACAGAGAGGGAGAGACAGGGCCAGAGAGAGATGTCTTTCATCTGCTGGTTCACTCCCCAAGTGGCTGCAATGGCCAGGGCTGGGCCAGGCTGAAGCCAGGAGTGGGGAGCTTCAACTGGGTCTCCTGTGTGGATGCAGGGGCCTAAGGATTTGGGCTATCTTCTGCTGCTTACCCAGGCACATTATCATGGAGCTGGATTAGCAATGGAGCAGCTGGGATCAAACTGGTACCCATATGGGATGCCAGCACTACAGGCAGCAGCTAACTTGCTGTGCCACAGCGCTAGCTCTGACCAAAAGTTTTATAATTTTTAAAGGCAATTTGAGTTCATTAAAGGATCTAACATACACACAAAGTTGCTTCTGAAATCATCCAGATGGTAATAACCGTTCATAAGGTCAGCAGTGATCCTCTAACATCCACAAAGTTTGCAGAATTTTTTATTTATTTATTTGAAAGACAGTTACACAGAGAGAGGAAGAGACAGAGTGCTTCCATCCACTGGTTTACTCTCCAAATGGCCTCAGCCTACCTGGGCCAGGTTGAAACCAGGATCCTGGAACTCCATCCAGTTCTCCCATGTGGGTGCTAGGGGCCCAAGTACTTGGGCCATCATCTGCTGCCTTCCCAGGTGCATTAGCAGGGAGCTAGATCAGAAGTGGAACAGCTGAGACTAGAACTAGCATTCAAATGGGTTACCAGCGTTGCATGCAGTGACTTAACCCACTGTTCCACAATGTCAGCAGCCTTCCCCCCCCCCCCCCCCAATTCTAAGAAAAGTCAGACCTGTCATCTGGTTCAGGTAGTTTTTACAGGAGTAAAAATCAACAGTACAGGGACTGGTGCCGTGGCACAGTGGGTTAAAGCCCTGGCCTGAGGCACCAGCATCCCATATGGGCATTGGTTCTAGTCCCGGCTGCTCCTCTTCTGATCCAGCTCTCTGCTATAGCCTGGGAAAGCAGTAGAAGATGGCCCAAGTCCTTGGGCCCCTGCACCCATGTGGGGGACCCAGAGGAAGCTCCTGGCTCCTGGCTTCAGGTCAGCGCAGCTCCAGCCATTGCAGCCATCTGGGGAGTGAACCAGCGGATGGAAGACCTTTCTCTCTATCTCTACCTCTCTCTGTAACTCTGTCTTTCAAATAAATAAATAAATCTTTTTTAAAAAATCAACAGTACAGAGTGAGAAGTTTATTGTTGCTTCAGACCCCTTGTTGAAACATAAGAAAATGGATTCTGACCAGCACCGCTGCTCACTAGGCTAATCCTCCGCCTGCGGTGCCAATACCCCAGGTTCTACTCCAGGTTGGGGCGCCAGATTCTGTACCCGTTGCTCCTCTTCCAGTCCAGCTCTCTGCTGTGGCCCGGGAAGGCACTGGAGGATGGCCCAAGTGCTTAGGCCCTGCCCCCGCATGGGAGACCAGGAGGAAGCACCTGGCTCCTGGCTTCGGATAGGCGCAGCGTGCCATTTGGGGGGTGAACCAATGGAAGGAAGACCTTTCTCTCTGTCTCTCTCTCTCACTGTCTAACTCTGCCTGTCAAAAAAAAAAAAAAAAATGGATTCTACAGTCTTTAGAAATCAATTATTCTCCATCAGGGCTCAGATAGTCCACAGGTTTTCTGTGTGAATGAGATTTTATTTCATTGTTTTTCTTTGTGGGTAGGATAGGAAGTTACATCCTAGCTTTTATGTCCTCATTTTGATACCTCACAGCTTTTTGTTTCATTTTAAGGGGATGTTTTATTTTGATTTGCAGAGAAGTTAACAAGGTACATTTAAGCTAGTCTTGTGGCAAACTCTTGAGCTTTTTGTTCTTTTCCAGTTTGGCCTTGTGAACCACAGAATTTGGACCCAGTTCCTTGCTTCCCAGAGACGTCAGATCTCTTCCTTAGTTCTCTTGGCCTCTAGTAGCTCAGCCAGGGCACGGCTGTCTTTGTGTTGAAGCCACACGAGAGTGGGGCTGATACAGGTCTTGCTGTGACCCCCTGTAACCTTCTCCATGCTGTACTAGGGAACCCTGCCTTCATGGACAAGGTGAGCAAGAAGAAATATAAATCGAGGAGACTCCTGCCAAGCAATTACTACTTGCTGGCTGTTCTTATTCTCTGTTTACATAGTGGCAGTATTAATACCTAGTTGAAGGTCACGTGGTCTCTGAAGAAAACCCATTGGGCAGCAGCTCTCTTTTGGACCAACATCAGCTTTGTTGGTGTTGTTTCTGGTCTGATTATATATATACACACATATTTTTAAAAGGTTTATTTGAAAAGGGTTACAGAGAGAGAGAGAGAGAGAGAGAGATAGATTGAGAGAATCTTACCTCTGCTAGTTCACCTCCCAGATGGCTACAATGGCCAGCGCTGGACCGGGCTGAAGCCAGGAGCCAGGAGCTTCTTCAGGCTCTCTCATGTGGGTACAGGGGCCCAGGTAGTTGGGCCATCTTCCACTGCTTTCCTAGGCCTTTAGCAGGGAGCTGGAATGGAAATGGAGCAGCCAGGACAAGAACCAGCTCTCATATGGAATGGCAGGACAAAAATCAGCTCCCACATGGGATGCTGGCATTGCAGGCAGCTGCTTTATCTGCTATGCCACAATTCTGGCCCTGCTGGTCTGTGTATGTTTTTTGAGATATATTTAATTTATTTGAAAGGCAGAGTTTCAGAGAGCGAGAGGGTGAGAGACAGAGAAAGAGAGATCTTACATCAGCCGGTTTACTTCCCAGATGGCCACAATTGTCTGGGGCTGGAGCAGGTCAAAGCCAGAACCCTGGAACTCCATCTAGTTTTCCCATCCAAGTACTTGGGCCATGTGCTGCTGCTTTCCTAGGTGTATTAGAGGGAACTGGATCTAAAGTGGAACAGTCAGGACTTGAACCAGCGCTCATATGGGATGCTAGCTTCACAGGCGGCAGCTTAACCTGATGCCCCACGACACCAGCCCCCGGTCTGTATTCTAGATCCATTTGATTGAAGGTCCAGGGACAAGGTGAACTGGATAATTGCACAAAATCTCAGTCTTTGTCGCTGGAGATGGTTAATAGGGCCAAGTGAGGAAGTCCCCTTTAGTCAATTTCTGAGCAAAGTGCAGGTTCTCATTTCTCAGAGGATTTACTGCTTGCTTGTATCGGCTCAGAACACAGCCCAACAAAATACGGCCCTGTGGCATACTGAGTATTTTAAGCTAAAGGAAATTGAGATAACATCAGAAGAAGGAAGGCCACTCTCTCCCCTGAAATGGACCATGAAAGAATTCACTCATTCCAGGGGGATCCTGCCCTATACCCAGAGGCCACAGAGAGGAACAAAGAGGCCTCGCTAATCTCCTCCCAGTTTATTGCATTTAGACCTTTTGTCCTCCAGTCATACTTCTTCTGCACAACTGTCCATAAAAATACAGCTTTCCCTGGGTCTTTGGGTTTTCATTTCTAAAGCCTCCATGCCATGTAAAAAATAGTCATGATGGCTGGCGCTGTGGCTCACTAGGCTAATCCTCCACCTGTGGTGCCGGCACCCCGGATTCTAGTCCTGGTCGGGGCGCCGGATTCTGTACCCGTTGCTCCTCTTCCAGTCCAGCTCTCTGCTGTGGCCCGGGAGTGCAGTGGAGGATGGCCCAAGTGCTTGGGCCCTGCACCTGCATGGGAGACCAGGAGGAAGCACCTGGCTCCTGGCTTCGGATCGGTGCAGCCATCTGGCCGTAGCAGCCATTTGGGGGGTGAACCAATGGAAGGAAGACCTTTCTCTCTCTCTCTCTCTCTCTCTCTCTCTCTCTCTCTCTCTCTCACTGTCTTAACTCTGTGAAAAAAAAAAAATAGTTATGCTTTGGTGGGTGTGTCAGCCATAGACCTTGCCCAAGGGATACTACTTTTTCTCCCTTACAGTTTCTTGTCTTTCAAACAGCAAGGTCTATGGCCAACTCTTTTCTCCTTGACTTTCTTTTAAACTTGTTTTCTCTTTAAAATATTTATTTGAAAGTTAGAATGGCAGAGATTGATAGTGTAGCATTAAAAGGCTACCTTAAGGTATGGCCGCAAAATTTAGCAGGGCTGAATCTGTGTGCAACAAAGCAGAGGTAGAATAATCAGTAATCAGAAATAGTTAAGAATAGAACATCAGAGCCAGTGTTGTGGCCTAGCTGGTTTAGCTGCCACCTGTAGCGCCAGAATCCCATATGGGTGCTGGTTCATGTCCCAGCTACTCCACTTCTGATCCTGCTCCCTGCTAATGTGCCTATGAAAGCAGAGAAAGATAGCCCAGGTCCTTGGGCTCCTGTACCCCTGTGGGAGACCCAGATGAAGCTCCTGGCTCCCAGCTTTGGACTAGCTCATCCCTGGCTGTTGTAGTTGTTTGAGGAGTGAATGAGTGGATGGAAGATACCTCTCTCTCTAACTCTGCCTTTCAATAATAATAAAAAAAATCTTAAAAAAAAAAAAAGAATAAAACATCACTCATTGAAAGACATCAATACCTGAAGTCTAAGGGCTGGGGATTCCTGGAACAGCTTTTTCAGGGTCCCCATCACGAGGTCAAAGCATCCTCTCAAGGCTTTTCCTCCCAAGGCCCCTTAAAAATTGTTCAGAACAGAGGTAGCATTCATCCAAGAGTCATTGTGTGACTAGGTAGGGTGTCCATTCTCTGAAGAACTGGCTAGGGACCTGGAGGAACACATATCTGTCCTTGCTCCATATCTCAAATAAAAACAAAACTTGTTTTTCTGTGTAGGAGAGCCATGCCCACAAGAAAAACTGAATCTGTAGCTCTAGGCTTTTGAGTTTACTGCACAAACAAGGACATGGAAGATTTTTTTTTTTTTTTTTTTTTTTGGACAGGCAGAGTGGACAGTGAGAGACAGAGAGAAAGGTCTTCCTTTGCTGTTGGTTCACCCTCCAATGGCCGCCACGGCTGGCACACCGTGCTGATCCGAAGGCAGGAGCCAGGTGCTTCTCCTGGTCTCCCATGGGGTGCAGGGCCCAAGCATTGGGCCAACCTCCACTGTACTCCCGGGCCACAGCAGAGAGCTGGCCTGGAAGAGGGGCAAGAACCCGGTGTGCCGGCACCGCAAGGTGGAGGATTAGCCTATTGAGCCGCGGCGCCGGCCTCCACAAACTCTTAACTGTCTCTCTACTTCTTGCTCCCAGACCTCTTACAGCTGAAGCTCATGAAACCTGGCTTAGCTGGACTTTCCCCACCCCTAGGAAAGCCTGGCAGTTTCGTTTCTGAAATGCTGTCTTCTTAAAACTTAGCTCCAGGGAAAGTGATGGCCACAGACCCCAACAGTGCTGCTGTCTGTTACTCCTGTTCTATCTGATAACTCCCTGAGTCTAATTAAGGTCCCAATCAGTACCACACACCATCCTGGCTCACTTGCAAGGAGAATTGCAGCATCTGAGGCAGGCGGATAATGATGTGCAAGAGTTTTATTCTTTTCTGAATCTCTCCAACATGATCTAGTCCCTCAACAAAATGCAGACTGCATGTTTGAGATATGAGTCCTTCCCTTGGGTCAGCTAGCTCCATGCACTGTCAAGGGGCATTTGGTTGACAGTTTGTCCCCAGTCCACTAGTTGTAAATGTTAGATACCGTTGACAGGAGCTTTCTGTAAAGAAATTACGGGATTCAAGAAGCTAAGAGCAGCATTTCAGAAGTCTCAGGCACCGACTGAATCATCATTTCTTAGCTGCCACTGGAAGCCTTGGTATGGCTGGCATTGTGGCTCAGTGGGTTAAACGGCCACTTGCATTGCTGGCATCTCATATT